TGGGGGCTGGATTGTTGTTGTTGTTTTGAAGTTAAGCACAAAGCTACACAATGGGCTATCTGTGCTCTACCCACCACGGGTATCGAAACCAGGATTCTATCGTTGTAAGTCCGTAGACATACCGCTGTTCCACTGGGGGGGGGGGGTGTATAAATAGATTCATTAATTGAGACACTGTCTTTTAATGTGTTTTTGTCTCTGGATGAAAAAGCAACATTTCCAGCATATTTGAATTATGAGAAAAAACAAACAAACCAAGTACTTATAAAAGTTATCTAAACGAACTTGTAGACTGGCAAAGGTAAATAAATCATGGCGGAAAATAACATGCAACACAAGATACATAAAAAAATAGCTAAAACATTTAAACCAATAAAACACATGCCTGAACTAACACTATTGGACTGGAGTGCTAATGTGAAGACGAAATTTGGTTACTTCTGACGTTTTGTCCTGCTAATTAATACTTAACAGGTTTCTAGCGTTATAAATCCGCTGTGTCACTGGGGGGTGGGGCAAACCCAAATGTATGTCATTATATAACGTTCGTTACAAAATAATAATGTTTGTACGTTAGAATACGCTGAGTTTGATAGAAACAATTTATTATGTATCGTTTTATAAAATTAAAAAAAAACACTTTAGAAATTATAACATGTTAGTGTGTTTTATATAAGAAGAACGGAAACAAAGAGACGGGTGAATGAACATTTGAATTTATAGACACCTAAACACAAACATTATGTACAGGATTCACAGACGTGGTCAATTGCTGATGACTATCTTAATTTTTGACATATATATATATATATATATATATATATATATATATTATTCAAAGAAATCCAGGTAGATGATAGACAGTTCAGTATTGGAGCGATTAGTGATGGCTAAAAGTATATGTTTCAACAGGTGATGACAACATAGCTTCATCATTATGAATTGTTTAAATAAAGTTCACATAGAATGAAACTGCAAGAACGTGGTCGTTTACTTGCTGTACTGGATCACGATTTACTTGTAAATAATATATTATTTTGTACCGGGATATTCTGAAACATCACTGATAGTTTAGATTTATTGTACATATCTAGAGCAACATACGGTCCGTTTTTCATAGGATCATTTACCAGTTTGGATTGATTTCAAAGTTGGACAGCTCCTCAAGAACTGCCAGTTTGACATGACTCCCCTACATATTCATACACATTGAGAACCTTCAATAAGCTGTTAGGGACACATAAACTCTCTACCAGATCATATTCACATGCTGCCCAGCTTCGAGGAGCTGGAAGCCTCAACATTGCCAGCCTTCCAAGAGTCTTCTTACCAGTTCATTTTTATTCGCACACTACACAGCTCCGAGAAGATGGGGGGGGGGGGCCTTAGATAGTTGCCAGCATCCAAAGGATTATCTTACCAGTTCTGTTTTCTTCACATT